TGCAACCGACGACAATAAATCGCGAGTTACGACTACACTTAGAAAAATAAAAGCGAGATTTGCTACATATTATTTTCATTAGTTCAAAACACATTTCTTGATTAAGTGACGAAAACCTCTAGCTTGTTTTCGACGAGCCCTAATTCACCGATAAACGAAGTGAATGTGAAAGAATTGTGAATTTGTGCGAAAAGTTATTAAATAGTTTGAAGTGCACTTGCAGCCTCACAAACACACACRCACRCATAMAACAAATTGTAAGACATGATGGTGATACAACAACAAGCACTATGGAGTGCGGCGGCACAATCAGCGGCTTCGCCCACAGTGGCCAATGAGGAGCAGTCCAACAATGAACGGCAGTTACAACAACGTTTGGTGAATAGCCAAAGTCCAGAACTGTGTAATGAACGAATTTTTATCAAGACTGAACCCACAGAGTTTGCACCGCGCAGCTCCGAGGATCATGAAACACCGCCAGCGGATGAACTTCAGAAAAGTATGTAGTAACAAACAATGAATTCGAATATTAGCCAATAAAAAAATTAGTAAAATATCAAGATTAAGATGCTGTTGGCACCTAAGTTGGGTAGGGCCAAACTGACTTTTCCCCTGGACTGTACAAGAGTGGTATTTTCGAAATCTATCTAAGGATTACTACTTGAATATGCATATAATTTGTGTCTGTGCCCACAAATAGCGCAAATCATTCACAGACATTTTTTGATCTAATTCCAAAGTTTGCCATATAGGCTCAAAAATATTTTTACCCGCATAGACAACTCTGTTTGGTATGACTTCCCTCGTTTGAATACTTTTCTTTGGGTTACGATGGTTTTTGGGGCGACTCAGTATCTAAATAATAGGCTTAACAAGTAATAAAGTTATTCAATTCTAATAAAAGATCGTTTTTCGATAGGTAGATTATTTCGCCTCTAAACTTCAAACATGTTACTGCTGCAGAAATTCTAAGAAAATCTAAATTAGAAATCAAAAAAGATATCGTGCCATGATAAAGTTTCAAATCGGCTTGGAAGACTTTTGGTTGCGCTGAACTCATCCTGTTGAGWGGCACTAATTTAACTGATAGAATTGCCTAGTAAACACTTAAAATTCSGAAAWWWTTTTAAATAAATATCGAATGATCTAAAGTAAATTTTTAATAGTTTACTATTTTTCTGCAATCCATCCGCTCCCAACACGAAAAGTACAAACTTGTGGGTCAAATTTTTTTTTGTTAAAAATGCACAAGTCCAAATTTAATGCAATTGGAAATGTAGGAGAGACCATATTAATGATTCGCGAACCCTATTGTTAAAATCGTTTGTAGGAGTATGCATGTATAATCCATACAATTTTTTACTTTTATATATAGTATATATTATATGTATTTAGGGCATGACAAACAAAAAGCTATTAACAAAAATTGTATAGATTATTTCTTTTACAAATAAAATTTGTCTGTCTGGTATTGTCCTTTCCAATAAGGATGCACAGGCAGGGTAACGGGCGGCCGCAAAGAGGCCTCTCCCATTTAATGTGCAAGAAATTGGTAATATCTAGATGTGTATAAGAGAACAGGCAGGGTAACGGGCGGCCGCAAAGAGGCCTCTCCCATTTAATGTGCAAGAAATTGGTAATAAAAGTATGCACGAATGGCCAGAGACAAAAAGACAACCCACTGAGCGTCTAATCATAAATAACTGTCTGTGCACTGTAGATGTGTTTGTGAGATATTCAAATAATGCATTCAAATTCTTTGATCTCCGAGGAACGATTGCAAAATGTGTACTTTCCTGTCTACCTGTTCCCGAAAATGAAAACAAGTAGGGAATCACAATTCATCACACCCGAGGTACTCTGCATGCAGCACAGAATTGTAAGAAACACGTTTGCATGACCACACTTTCCCACAATTTCAACGTAGTTTTTCCTTTGCTGTTTTTTTTTTTTTGCCTCCTTTGCATGCCTTGCACTTTTTATGAGCGAGCAGACACAAAGAAGAGTCCAGCTGATTTTGCATTTGCCGCAGGAAGACAATTAATTTCCTCATTACATAGCATATTTATGTGTGTGTGTGTGTGTGTGTGTGTGTGTGTGCCCCAAATGAGTCGGGTTGGTTTCGCACTGAAAATGGTCAGCCAGGTAGGATTATCACTGGCGACTAAGGCTGCGCACAATACAAATGTCGGTAATTGCCGTTAAGTAGTGGGCACAGCTTCCACAAATTCGCAAACGAAAATGCTTGAGAAGATCATCTTCGTGGCAGACAATGTGCGTGTGTATGCAGATTAGTCGAATTTTGAGCCAAAGTCAACAACTTAAGAGGTGATGATGATTTTGCTCCTTTGTGGTCAGACATAGTAGTAAAGGAATGAGTGAAAGCGCTACTAATGTATGTGTGCCATTCAATGCGAGCAACAGCAATAACGTGCACTAACCTCCCGACACCATCGACTTCTTAATCGGGCGCAAATAAGCAACTTTGCATGTTCATACGTGTGTATATGTGTGTTCATACCAATACGCTGATACATAGTGTTTGAAAATCGTGCATTGGCTTGTAAGCACGTATCCTTGTACCACTTGTAATCTGTATATGAATGTGCAAAGCAACGCTCCCTTGATAATAGATAAACCAACCGAAATATCAAATGAAATACGTAAAAAATGGCAGATTGTTTTTGCTTTTTACTTCTTTTCCCAGCTATGCATACGTTTTTGGCTTTTATTTTTATTTTTTTATTTTGTTTATTTTGAGACAGTAATCTGTATATTTATATTTCGAAATGGACAGTGCACATTATCCCCGTATGCATATATTGTCGTAAAAATATAGGTACCGTGCCAAACTATGGACCATTGCCGCTACTACTCGGCTTTGTCCTTTTTTGTTTACACCCTAGGGAGCCATAAATTTAATATCCACTCTTTGCTAAATAAGAGCAAATGCCAAAAAAATGTTCTTCTCTCTTTTTTATCACGCTCAAATGCAGAAGATGCCACAGCGGATAAATGCAGCTTATGCTCCACACCTTCGCCGCTCGCGCCCGTTCGCTTGTCGCAGYCCTGACTGGACAGGCGTTTGCTGGATCACACCAGTRCACACGCACACCAACCGAGCGTCTATGGACACAGCTAGAGAGTTTCTTCATTGTTATTTGCAAATATAATGTGCACTCAAATGAGGTTATTTATGACAGTAATGCATAAAGGATACGAACACTCCTAGAGGCATTCGGCACACATGCATGTAAGCACGCACACACCGGCAGGCGTGTAGGTGTCACTGTCGAGCGGCAGAAGTAGCAATCTCCATACGAAAATGCGAAAGGAAATGGGAAATGGAGATTTAACTAAATGCGGCGGTGATGAAATTGTAAGCACGTCGCCCACTGACATACACCAATTTCTTTTCTGCTTTATGGATGGAACTACTCACATAAGTACATATGTACGTGGTTTTATGTGCTACACATATTTCCATATATGTACTATTCATGCGTGTTTAGTATATTCATAAATGACGCAAATGTTGGAAAACTCCTGAACTGAAAACGCAAAGAATATTCTGCAGAAACTTAACTTCTTTGTGGCACTTAAGAAAAGCAGACTTTTTCAAAATTAGCATCAGATTTAACTGATCAATAATTATATTTTATATTTTCTGAGTATACTTTAAGTCTACTTCATACTTAGACAAAAAATTAATTATATCTTTTGCGTGTAAATTTTCTGTCAGTACTTTTAACTAAAGAAGGTTAAATAAATCGGTTTGAAATTGTTAAGCCATATAGAAGGAATTTTCAAAACTTAATTCAAAAAACTTTGCTGTCTAACAAAAAACTTCCTTCCATGTTTAGACGTGGCTCTTTAGGAGTCAGATAAAGGTAGCACTTTACTCGGAATTAGATATTCTTCATTAAAGTCATTCCGATATTTTGACACTTCAAAATTCTCTTATATCATAACAGCTATTGCACTATATCTTCTGGATCCCCTTGTTAGCTCACTTTACTTGACAAAACTTTAGTAATTTGCATTCAATTTACTTTTTTGGTGGGTGTGATGCAGTATACATRTCGCACGTATGCATATCTGCCAGCAGAAGCTATCTATGCATGTAGGTACATACATATGTGCATATGTATGCGTGCATGCCAAATTCACCCCATAAAACTAACGAAATACTCGTACTAATGGACATTTTATGCCCATTTAAAGCAAAAACAAAACCAAGTGTACCACAAAAAACAGAGTAAGAAGTTTGTCGAACACTCCTCCCTTGCCCCCAACGAAAGTAGCGAAGCAAATGTATAAAAACATTGCATGCAACATTCAAATTGACAAGTTAAGAAGACGTGCCATTTGCATTAAGTTTCGTAGTTTCGAATGGGCGAAATTGTCGTAAACTCGCCGAAACAGCAGTGCGAGCAACAGCAGCGTGATGGCAAGCGGCCAAGAGGTCATCAACATGAGTGAAGAACGCAAACAGCATCAACGCCACCCCTGCCACCACTGCCACCACCATCGTCACCATAACAATCACCACCACCAACAACAATATAATATATAATGGCCTCAACTACACCCCCACAAAGATTTGTTTCCAACTCAATTCGCATTCACATTTGCGGAGACACATCTGCAGACTTGGACAGCGTTTATTTACTTAGGATATTTGCACGGCGAACGATGGACAGCGAGCCGTGTCCGAAAGGGCATTGAACATCCAATGCACTCCGCTGCTGCTGCTGGCCTTTAATGAAGAGGGAAATAAAGATAATCAATAATTTGCGAAGAACATTTGAATTRKAACTTGGAAGTCTTGGACAGTGGGCCACTTAACCTTTTGCCCGTTGATGGAACCTCTGATAGGAAATAAATAATATATAGCACGAATACACTTATATAGCTGCATATGTCCATGTATATAGTATACATATATGTATGTACTTGCATTTCCATATTATTGATGTTGATTTTTATCTCTTCCACAGATACATTCAATGGACACATGCGATACTCGCCGTCACCACTGCGCTCAGCAGCCGGTAAGTACCAAGCTGGTCAACTGCTTTATATGCAACTAAATATTTTAATAGCTATCTACATATGTAGGTATATATTATACTATTTAAGATGCACATGCATATGTGTATACAGTTATGTATATGGACGCGTGCCTGGCTCGAAACTTTAATCCGTTACCTCAATTCTTTCAACATGCATGTTGCTTCCATCAATCCTCCGTTCACTAATTTTCTCACATCCACACAAACACACACACACAGGGATACAAGGGCCCTGAGTACCCGCAACATTATGGCAATACTTCTAGTATTTAAAATGTGCGACAAATGCGGCGGTGTCCCTCGTCTCTCGCCCATTCGCTCATAGAAACACGTACGCGGAGCACGTGAATACAGAAATTTATTACCGACTTCAAGTGAGAAGTTTATTAGAGTTGCTTTTTGCTGCAACTGCTCAGGGGCGGTAGAGGGGGAAATTCGCTACGCGTGTGCCTGTGCGCAGTTTTGAATTTGTGCTATTTCTTTCGAGTTTTGAAAAGGATGCAAGGGCATAACTCCGGCTCGTGTCAATATCCTTATTGCATTAGCTCTATTCTAAATGTTGGGATGTAAACTCCTAATCATACACATACATAACGGTGAGTGCGGGCAAATTTAAACCGCTGCACGCTCTGACCTGGAGCCAGGCACGAGCAGACCGAGCACTGAATTCTGCCTTTTATCCGAGCATGAAAAAATGCTTTCAAATGAATTAATATGTTTAAAAATTTTCGTCCTTACGCGAATTTAGTTAACAAACTYCTAATAAAAGGATCGCAGAAAGAAAAAATGCATTTATAGAAGCGAAGATAAAACTCAAGTGGGAAATTTAGGAATAATATTTCATAGAGTTAAACAAGAAAGCCGATAACTTTACCCTTTTCAAAATATGTATGTAAATTACTAAAAATTGGCCGCTCCTGAGCTGATGCCTTTGGAACATATGTAGTTTTAAAGTAAAATCTGACCAACTTTCTGACCAAAAATACAGCAAATAATTAAAATTAATGATTTGCATGAATATGCATGAACATCCGTTTCGATAAAAAAAAAACTGTTTAACAAGGCCTAATATGCTCAATTGCTCGATAAATTTTATGCGTGATTTTGCAACTTCCAACTCTGCTTCATCTTCATTGAAATGCAAGCAATAAAATTTGCGGCAATCACGGTGCCGACATTTTAGACGCCCCTTTGCACATGTCCAAATAATGTCATATCGGACATCTAACTGAAAATTTGACTATCAYGGCCAGCAATAACAACAACAGCATATACGAGTACGAGCTCTTATTTACATATAYACAAAGTTGCCTTTCGCACCCAACTTGACCCCTCGCTGCAACCCTCATTCGCACAGATGCAGCACTTGGGCCGCTGGCATTCACAATGACAATTTGTCACAACCAAAAACAAAAACCGTGGTCCAAAGTGGCACAACAATGAAATATCACATACATTACATTTCAATAGTTCAAATAACAGTTTCAACAATAGTACAATGACTATAATTCGGCGAAATTAAAATTCCAAAGCAACCCTGTGACACCTCGGCAACAATGGTCATCACGCTCTGTCCACCCGCCGTTGGGACAAAACCAAACACACATACGGCAGAGTGCAAGGCATTTAGGGGACGCAGCGGCGGCATCCCAGCAGTCGATCGAGCTGTCTCCTGACAAACAGGATATTGAAATCACAGCCATTCACTCACATAATACTCATACTCCTGTAACCTTGTGAGTTATTTTAAGCAGATGGATGTTTACATATTTCCAATATTTTTTATTGACGCCGCAGTTTTGTTAAGTGTATATGTGTGTGTGTGTGTGCTTATATGTAAAACCGATATCATCCCACAACTGGCAGAATTTCGCTTTTGCAACGCACGAAGTGATTTCCACGTACGGCTGCATGTATTTTCTACCAAATATGTACATACATGCATATATATGTATCTGTATGTGTACATGTGTGTGCATTTGTGTGTTTGTCCAGCACTCAAAACTAACCCCTAACCAGACTTCAATTCATCCATCTCATTAGGTGCAACACACAGAACAAATTGCCGAATATTGCAATGATTACGCATACTTTGTCGGAGGTTTTAAGGTTATGTAAATTTGTCGCCGTCTGACCTTTGGGCGCAAGCAAATGATGAGGGCACCCATGCAAATGTAGTGACAGCGGTGGCAATTAAAATTAAACGCTATTTTAATCATATTGCACCACCTATTCGCTCAGCAACAGCATAAAAAAAAAAACATTTACCATACATTGTAGTCTACTTCACGGGGCTTACGCATTGTGAAAAGGTTCTCGTTAATAATCGTACATTGGCACACACACACATGCATGCAAATGAACAAGCATTTAAATATCACAACATCAACAACAAGAAGGGTTGTCATTCGCTCGTTTTTTATTGGCACAATCAACACGAGTCACCGCGAGATGCGGATATGCATATAAGCAGAGCATTGGTGGAATCACTGAGTCCAATAAAAAGAGGAAGCGAACCCTTTGCCGCTATGCAAAACATGCCGGGGGTACGCGAGCGTCGATAAGGCAACTGTTGCGCACCGCGCACAAAAACAAAAACAACACACAAAAAACCGCATGCAAAGTGCTACCCTGCGCTCCGCCGCCGAGGCCAATCGCTGCTCATTAATGCACCCTTTCGCGCTTTTTACTCGAGTGCTCGTCACTTTTTATTGTTGCTCTTGCTGTTGCTTCCTACCTTCTGCACTCCACACTTAGGTGCGTTTATTTGCCTATCACACACATACACGCCTAATAATGCATTTATTCAAATTATAGTGTGAATATTAATGGGCAACACATACACATACATACACAAATGCACGAACGTTTTTATGACGGCGTGAATACTCAAATGCGTATGCGCTCCGGCGATTTATAGGCAAATTAAAGGGTGTTGTAATGACGGTGTTTACCATTTTATAAAAGCCAAAGGTATTGGGAGTTGCGTGAAATTAATTGAGGTTTTATTGGAGAGTGGCGCGTGCCAAAGTGGTTTTGTTGACGTTGCTCTTCTTATTGTTGTTATTGTTGTTGTTGTACTCATAATCATACATATTTTAAAAAATTATGTGGGATTTATTGAAATTGAGTTATTACATTGTACGGTGTTAATTGGCGTGAACACTCAAAATCTTCACATGGAAGGTGTTAAAATTTGCTTACATGTATACATACACACACACATACATATGTAAGTATTTGTATATAATGAAAAATGSCTAGTATTAGGCAGCAAGCCGAAAAAGCTTGGTTTCACTTGAATTCCTCTGAAATTCCCTATGAGTTCTTGGCAACGATGTTCAGGATTTTAAGAAAGTATAAAGAAATGTAAGTGTAAATAATCGCCATAATTCCACTCTTTTGCCGCTGTCACCTGCATATTTTGAACAAATCTGGAATGGAATAGTCTAACATTTGCTTATAATGGCCAAAAAGAGTGGGTCAGATGGTGGCTTGTCAAAATATAGAAGTTTCTCTGTCGCCGTTTAAAAATGGGGGTATTTGCGACAATCTACTACTTTGGCACTGTAAATATTTTCTCAAGCGGCATCCTTAAATCCTTAATCTAGCAYTTGCAACGAAAAAACATGCAAATCACATTGCAGAGTAAACAGTTGCACATTCCCTTAACGCTTCACATATCTAGCGCGCTTTACAATGAAGCAAGATTGGATTGCGTCAACAGTTATATGCAAACATATCTGAAATCCTGACTTAAACTTAGACTTACAAAATGCAAAGGTACATACCTACACACATGCAACTTCGGCAAATACAATTGTGTGAATTCGAACGATTTGAGGGTCTCCATAATGTCTGCGTCCAATTTCGTACGATAATTAAATTGGATCACAACAAATAACCAGTCGATATGTGAGCACATACATGTATGTATTGGAATGTATGTATGTGCATAAGCATGAATATGCGTACTAGGCCCGGCTAGACGCTGGCCCGAGCCGCGAACAATTGTCTATTCATCAACATCTGCTCGACAGCAGAAATGCTTTGTCACTTCGTCATATTCTACTCATACCCAAGCGGCGGCCTGCATTACTCGAATTTCCAAATGTATTCATAATTTTCTAAAATAAAAAACCGAATTTCCTCATTTTTGGAAATCCTTAAACGCAGTTAAATGGTTTTGTGTGTCATGTCAAGCAGGGACTTTGATGTGAAATCGTGACAAGCGTTTTTTAGCAGAATCTCTATAACTTCCGGCATGATTGATTAAACTCGCAAATAATTGATTTTATGCTCCATGCATCGTTTGTATGTATATAAGTATGTTGSTATGCGTGTATTCATACGCGCGTTAAGCGAATGAATAGTTGTGTTTTTACGCTGATCCAGTAAATTATTTCCGTGCATGTGTGTGGGTAAATCAGCATTTAGCGTATTTTTTGCCTTGTCTTATTCGGCTTTGCACGGCGTCTGCTCGTAAGCTTTTTATTTTGTGACGAATTAGAACTACAAATAAGGGTTAACGTCAACCAGCAATAATTAACAAGTTATGATTGATGTCAACTCTGACCTAACCCACCAATCGATTTAATTAACAGATAGCTTTGATCCCTTTAAAGCGGGGGACAAAGGACACTTTATGCCTGGATATAGAGAAGGTGATTGGACGCGACTTGTATAGAGAATTGTTTGCTTTGATGGCATTAGAAGGGTTAAAAGCAACCCTGCAACAAATATAGGAAATTAAGAACGAATAACCGAACAACAACTAAAAATTAGCAGCTCGGCCATGAAATATTTTAAATTTATAGCCGATTACTGACTGTGTGGACCTTCATGCGTGCACATACATATGTATGTATGTATGTATGTTCGTATGCAACTGTTTTACAGCCGACTCTGCGGTCAATTATCTGTTAAAGTATCTCTGGGATTGCATTAGTTCCATTATTGAAGTGATTTTTATTGCCGTTTTTTAGGCGATATGCCATGGATTGTAATTTCTATTTCTATTTTTGAAACTTCTTTGTTTTTAGTTTGTATTTTTTTAAGCAGAACTACCCCTGAGCCATTCAATCGGTGGGCATGTGTGCGTGGCACGGCGAGCGGTTAATGCTGGGTGCATGTGGTAGTGCTGATTTGAAGTTTAAAATGAAGGGTATTCGTTTGATTGGTCTGTAATCAAGCGCTACAAATTATCATCCCTTCCCGTYCGTTGTGACACWCGCGAGAAGGGGCTGAGTCAAACCAACGCACACATAYGCACATGTATGCACTATGCTTTCCGCATCGAAAATACATTGCTTTAAATTGGGACATTTCATTTGAATCTTCCTTCCTGTTTCTCCAATTTTACAACATCGAGTGCGAAATGWCCTCGGGGGGTTTCAATTGCATTCACTTATGTTGGTTATTTCGGTTGCATTGTATCGGCAAAATCGGCAGGCTAGCAATGTTTTGTGTTCGCAGGCGTTATGGGGTGAAAAGCAGCGCTGTAAAGGGGTGTGAATAATGAATCTTTCAAGTTCAAGTTTTCCAACAGTCGACAAAATGAAAGTTAGAGAAAATGGTTATTTTTCCGATTGTTTTACTTTTCTCATAGAAAAGCATTGCGTTCTCAGCCATAATTTGCGCCGAGAGTTCCTTCTTCTCAGCACAATCGACTCTATTGGCAACATCTCACGCTGCGGAGACTATGTGAAGAGATTTTCGCTTTTTTAGACAACAAAGGGAAATCGARGGAAGAAATGTWAAATACAGAATACAGCAATTTTTGTGCATTGATAAACGTAGCATGGTGCATATGCAGAGGTGCTCTACCTTATCCACTCTCCGGGTGACATTTTTGGTACCTCACAGGCACCGAATGGTCTGGCCTCTTGAGTACCGAGTGCAGATGTCCTGGGTAGACGTTAAGATTTACACTGATTGCGTTCAGCTACTATTGGGCCTTCTATCCAGTTTACCAACTTAAGCTCTAATGAGCAGCTCAATACAACAAAAAATTATTAGAAGACAATATAAAAAACTATCTTCTCTAACTTAAAGCTTAAATTACACATTTTCTAATGACTAAGTCTAAGGTCTAAGTAGAACATAACATTTAAATTAATTCTCCCCAAACCTTCAAGTACAAAAACAGGGTTACATCGCGCATTACTATATGGAAAGTGCAAATATTTAGGGCCGCAAATGGTTTCGCAAAATTTTTTATTCCACTTTGCACACATTCAAAGTGCCTTCCAACATGGTTATATCAAAGTTGTTGAAATTTCAGCCCGTACGAATGGACAAAGCCTGAAAAAGCGCTATCTCGCCAAGCAAATACCGATGGCAAAGGCCACATACACACGCATGCACTTAAATTGGCAATTATTATACATGAGCGAGTTTTCTAAATGCCTTAAAATTAGCCAACATAAGTCAACCCACACAGAGAATATATAATTTTATTTTCTTGCATTTTTTCTGCTTCTGGCTCGTATCTACCGAAGACAGAACGACCCACTATAACCCTGAAAAGCATTTTCAGCTATCAAGGCCCACATTGTAGGCTTTGTGGCTGRACATGAGCGTGCAGGCGGTAGCTAGGCATGCACTCATTCGGAAGTTTGAATAAAATTTGCCTCCTTAAAAGAAATATTGGAAATTGATAAAAGACAAGAACCTTTTCCCRTTACCGATGGTCCATTGAGCCAGTGTTAAACATTTTTGGAATATTCAATTTGTGCCATGGTCAAATCGAATTATGCTCCAGTTGAAATTCCCAGTTAATGCACATCTATATGTGTGTGTTTGTGTGTGGCGTAAGTGTATTTGAAGCTTTGGCCACTTAGGTTGTGGTTTGAACATTTGAGGGGTTGTGTTCGGTAGAGTTATTGTTGTGTGGCATAAAAAGAAAGCATTTGTTGAAAGAAATGAGGAACAGTAGCGTCGCTGAATTGGAAAATTGAAAAGCAAAATATTTATTTCTTCACATAACTGACTTCTTATAACCCTTATCTATCCGCTCTTTTTACAGGCGACAACGATAGGCATGAAGATGGAGGGTGTGCTGAGCAGTTTAAGCGATGTGTCCTGCCAGTGAAGAATCTGAGTAAGAAGCGTCGTCATGAAGTGGCCGTGGAGTCGGACGAAATACTTGACCTTGCGCCGCAATCACCAAAGAGACTGGCGCGTTCACCACTCCGTCCCGCGACGCCGGGCGAGATGAATGCCAGAACCTCYGATGAGCACTGTCAGCAGCTATCGGAGAGTGCGTCGAACCTCTTTACGGCGCTACAGAGTCCACTGGCACCACTACTGCTGCAAAATCACCTTGGCATGGCAGCACCAAACTATGCTGCCAGTGAAATGCAACAGGCGTTCCAGCTACAACTGCAAAGCTATGTAGATGTGATGCGTCAAGTAGCGCCGGATAATTTTCAAAATCCAACAGCTACGCATTTCCTGCTCCAAAACTCACTCCAAGCCATGGCGCAGTTTCAAGCTTTGCAACAGTTGAAACAACAACAACAGTTACAACAAGAGCTGCAACAGCATTTTGAAGGCGAAGAACACCTACCCACGAGCAGATTTMATTCCCAAGGCACGCCAGCACGAGGAATGAAACACTTTTCCACGCCGTTGGTCTCATCACCATTGCGTAGCCCYTCACTAAGYCCAGTTAGTCGGCGTCACTTGAAATCCTACAAGCTTACACAAGACGATGAAGAAGAAGAAAGCGGCAACGCAAACTCTTCGCAGCAGACCACACCACCTAATTCTGCCTTGGGTCTGCAAATGGGCAGCGCCGTCTTAACGCCAAATACGCCCGGCATGTCTTCCATATTCCCCAACACGTTACCCGGCGCAACAATGAGCTTCAGCAGTACACCACAAAACAACAAAGCGGTCGGCGCAAACGCAATGTCGGCAGCAGCACGCTCTCTCGACCAATCGCCMGAAGAGACAACCGATCTGGAAGAACTCGAACAATTCGCCAAAACTTTCAAGCAGCGCCGCATTAAACTTGGCTTCACGCAAGGCGATGTTGGTTTGGCAATGGGAAAATTGTACGGCAATGACTTCTCGCAAACCACCATCTCACGATTTGAAGCACTCAACCTCAGYTTCAAAAACATGTGCAAACTAAAGCCGCTRCTGCAAAAATGGCTGGCTGATGCAGACAATACAATATCGAAAACGGGCGGTGTGTTCTCACTGAGCTCCATGACAACAACGCTCACTACWCCTGAAAACATAATTGGGCGAAGACGCAAAAAGCGCACCTCCATCGAGACCAACGTCCGCAGCWCACTCGAAAAGGCATTCATGGTCAACTGCAAACCCACTTCAGAGGACATCAATAATTTGGCGGATCAACTAAATATGGACAAAGAAGTGGTGCGCGTTTGGTTTTGCAATCGTCGGCAAAAGGAGAAGCGCATCAATCCCGCCATGGACCTGGACAGTCCGACAGGCACACCACTCAGCAGCCACATCTTCGGGTTCGCCGCAAAAGCGCTYAGTATGTCAAACAGCCAAGAAGCCTCCTCAATGTGTGGCAGCTCGATTAGCTCCCTGTCGCCACATTGCGCGAGCAAGCAAGAATGATCCCGAGGCCACAGTGATGTCAATCGAAAAAAATCCTATCGGGATATAAGTAAACCCCATTCGTCATACCTGCAGAGCTTCGCACCGCCGCAACATTCGAGCCGCACACAACCGTTCTTCGAGAACCGCCAGGCTTTGCAAAGGATTTGGCACTTCTGCGAGAAACCGTCGTCGTTTGCGTCGAACTCGTTCGATACGTATTCACACTACACGGAGCTGATCTAAACATATTCACACAACCATACATACCTAAGCTAAACAAATGTGTACATACAAAAAGTATTTAAGGCATTACTTTTACGAAAGTCTATCTCTTGATCATATCAACGCCCGGCCACAGACAGAGCCATAATTTAATTATAATTATTTAAGCAATTACAAGTTCCAAATGTGTATTTTAAATGTTTGTACAATCTATCACTCAAGTATTACACACAGTTATGTAACAGTTATGTAACGCGTAACGTACATTTATATATGCTCTTCGGCTACAGCGACACTTGTGGCGAGTACGAAGAATTGGTAGTATATATTTCAATTTGTTTTTGGAATGAAATTAACCGAATATGTACATATATTATCTATACACATACATGGGCATGGAGTTGTGTATGTATGTAAATGCATTGAATGTGTGTGTAAGTCGCATTTAATGAAATTACTTAGTCAAGGTTCCTATATTTATGTTCAAATCCAGTTCGTGTAATTACTTATGCGCAACACATGTTCAAAGCAGGCGAGTCTAGTATATTTTTTATCAGTTTTTTGTTTCTCACACTCGAAGAATTTGAAGTGAATCACACGAAGCCCGAAATGCCGATCTTCTATTAAAAAGCGATTTTTAAATTCCGCAAACATTTATGCTTTTCGTGTTTTTACAAACAAACATATTCATACATAAATACATACATACCATCACAGATAATTGGGTATTGCTTATCGAAATTTCTGGGAAAGTTTTGATTTCGAAAATCAGCATTCAATGTCTCTATATCTTTTTTCATCATTTCCGTCTTTTATTCTTTGTATGTATGAATGTATGTACGCAAAAAGAGCGAACATTTTTCAATTTGGATTCTGTAACATAAAAAGTGCATTAATATTAATTTTTCTAAAGCAATGCTCACTGCGCGCAGCTTCCGAATGATGCCGGAACTGATGCCTGTGTGCAGATTGTGGTGGAATTGGTTTGCATTTTATGGTTTGAACTGCACGCTCCACTAGAAAATGTTTGCCAATTCCAGTTCTCCTTTTCAAATATATTTCTAATATTTCTGATATAACTGTTCAAACTTTTTGGAGGCTTTCGTGCATTTTTTGTTATTTATTGTAAAGCCACTTCAGGTTGAGCTGAGTGCTTATATGGTATATATTGTATAGGAAATTTTTAACTTCTTATTAAATTATTAACTGTAACTATATACATATGAACTTGGATTATACTAAATTAAAAAAAAAATGAATGTAGATTTGTAGAAATAAATAAATAAATGAGTTCAAACCGAACGCAAAGATATCAATACAAATAAAAACGAAGAATGTATTTAGCAGCTAATTATTGAGTATGGTTCTTATTTCAAACACCCACTCGGATAGAGTCGAGCCTAAGATTGTGCTCGGATACACGTGCACCAACACAGGGGTTATTGCACCACAAGTATGAACTCAATCACAAAAATTTAAAGGATATTTAATTTTAGATACCTCCATTCCGAATTTTCGAATACCGAGTTTAGTGCGAAATATTCCGGGAATGCTGCAGCTAAGAAGATCCTGAATCCTTATGTTGATGATTACACGAAACAAAAAGTATGTTGTCCAAAMACGAAGAACATTTGATTACCAGTGCATACTAGTCCAAGGTTTGTAAGTAAATGTAACTCATACGCTCCGCCGTCTGTGTACAGTATTCTGTTCYGTCGAAATAAGGCATAGCAAGAATTATAAACGTTCACCTACTGCGCGACAATTGGTCAAATTCTTACTCGTATTTGGTTTGTTATTATTAATTTTCGTTGCTTAGGGCCATTTAATTCCTTTGGCTCTTTCGATTGACACACCTTGAGTTGAGCAGAAATAGCTGTTTGARGCAATCTTTCGAACTACAGAGTAGCAACTTTTACTGTTGCCGAAGTCAACTGTAATTTTATAGGTCACGTGTTCAATATGTAAAATCTTAGAAAGGTAATTCCATATATACAAATCCATTCTTAGAAAAATTCAACAAGCATCTGCAGGAGACGTGAAACCGAGTGGSCTGCTTGATCCGCATTTGACAGACATATTTGACATAAGAGTAGGAAAGGAAGTAGAGAAATGAGACGGCTAAAACATTAAGTGTGCGGTTTTCGTTTTATATTCAATTAGTGGAAATTAAATTAAATTCGCACTGCGAAATTTCCAATTTACTTATTTTTTTTATTTTTTTTTTTTAACACTGCCGCACCCAATCATTAAAATGGAATTGAAAATATTTTTCTTCCTTTTTGTGTCGAAATTTCCACAACTACAAAGAAAAACATTTGATCCTCTTACGAAAATAGACTTTTCCTATCTAAGTGCCCTCTTAACTTTAATCTACAATCTCATTTTTCTTATTTAATTTCTATTTTGTTGGACGCCTCGAGCACTTACGCATGCATTTATGTTAGCGGCGGGAGGGGAGGCGTGCGCACCGAATCAAATGGTCAAGTGGCGTTCAGCAGTCGCCAATAGCCCAARCTTCGCATATGTATATGTATTTGTGTCCGTGCCAAGCAAACACACCCCTCTGCTGCCCATTGTAATTGGGTATAAAAGCACTTTTTACAATGTAGTCGCACTGCGCTCGCATAGATAAGAATGGCGTTTATACAAATCCACACATATGCATGTGTGAACTCACACATATATACATATACGCGCGCACTTTTGATCAGCCGAAGAGGTGTATTGTTATCCGCTACATGTGACTAAAACGGAAACTCATAAGGCGATTTCTCCAAAGAGAAGCGAAATCTACTCCCTCGAAATTCTTCATTCATATTTARAGCAGTTTTATTCGCTGGACACTTATGCATCGCAAATCGGCAGGTGTTCATGCAACATCCTTTCCGCGCTTCTTCATCGATACTTGCACAGGAATCGCAAAATTTGCCACAGAGTTTCAACTTCGAACCGCGAATATTTATTTTATTTATTTATAAATGTGAAAAAAAAAAATAATACAATTATTTTATTTACACGAAAAAAAGGAGCACTGGCTGCCAGGACCTTCGGCTCGTCACGCGAATAATTTCTTTCATTTTCAAAGGGCGAATTCATTCTCTTATACTATATAGGCTGGTCGGCTAAAGTATATGAAATATTTCTTGTAGATATACCATATATTTGACAGGAGTGCCCAACCCGCAATACTGATGGAGGATTCTATTTTACTTCAAATAATTGCTTATTCTCTTTACTTTAATTATTCAAAACATAAGTGAAAAGTTCTTTTATGTAGATACAGGAGAGCCTGATCATTCAAGAGTTCACAATCTCATGGACAACATTAAGCTACCTTTTGGTAGGATGTTTAATATGTTTGTCGTCTTCCGGATTTGAGAATGCCTGCAAATGCTCGGTACAAGCGTTCAGTTCCATTCGGGAATGATTAAGCTGTACCTATGTATGTCGGTATATGCATCATAATTCGAGTCGAAACTGAGCAAATACACTTTAATTTTCCTCAGAGACAAGTTCTTGATAAAATTGGACGATAATGGGATTGGAACGTTCACCAAAATAACGGCACTTGGCACAGACACGACAGTTGCGTCTACGAAAACGAAATGTGCTCAGATATAAATGCGCATAGCCCCAGCCAACGCTGCGACAATTTTCAAAAGCAGTTCACTAATCTATCCACACTAGGCACGACCTTAACCTGAAGGACCTGAAGTTCATTATTGGCGTTCTTCTACAATATCACACATTTTTAGTAACTTGACACAGAGTGCCATATAATAGACGATGGGAATGAGTTTAAATAGCGAAGGCTCTGAGCCACAAATTTTGCGGCCTGTTCGGATTTTTCCCTCAGGGAACATACTGTACCTGCTTTGTGTACACTAGACGCCATTTACATTCAAAATCCTCATTGGACAGTGCTCCTTAGCCCCCTTAAGCCATTTGAGCCATTTGCAATTTACAATTCATTTTCCTTAGTTGATTCTGTTGGACAATAGGCCTCTTATTCAGTCTTATTCAGGTGCAGGTGGGGTGAAACTTCACAGAAATGAGATAAAAGAAACGAGTCGGGGCAGCCAGCACAGAGTTCGGCAAACAAACGCTTTGGCATGTGCATTTGTTTACATAGACCTGCAGTCATTATTTGCGGCATACGTTAAGGCGCTGATCGGCTACAAAAGATTCGATTTGATAAATTTCCGTTTTTCTCCTTTGTGCCGTTCTACTTCTCGCCCAAGGCTCTGCTTTTATGTTGTTTGGGGTTTTCTTTCAAAGCGATTTACAAGCACATTTGCGAATGAAATTTTGATTTCACTTTTAAAAGTCCCATTTTCGCGTAAGTACATATGTATGTATGTGTGTTGTGTTTGTATGTGCGCATATATATGTATGAATTCTAATTTCCGTGTTCTAATCGTACATACACCAATCAGGCATGTACATACGTATGTAGGTATTTACATATGTAGTTACATATACTTATGTGAGCTTCCTGTAGTTGACCATTTATAAGAACAAACTTCGCTCCTCTATTCATCTACTCAAGTATTCATTTAAACATTCATTTTTACAGCTTGAAAAATGAATTTCGCATATTGGACAAGGTTACCATTTATTATAATGAAATTTGGCATGTACGGGTAACTGCCTGCGAGTATATAATCTACAAGGCAGCAGTAGATTGCATTTGTTAAACCATTTATCATGGTGAATAATATGGAGTTTGGCTATTTTCCTCGCTTGCACAAATTCAAATACGAATGTGTGTGAATATKTGCTAGTGATAGATTCAATATTCAATTATTCCTCACCTTTGATCAGAGAAAAGCTAGAAACGAGTCCTCAAATCTCATAAAAAGTTCATCATGTTCTATATAAATTCATTTATAAAGTCAGCTTCATAGCYGGTTACACACATAAAGTACTTTCTTCAGCCCAAGTTTCAGATTCGACATCAGGCGGCCCCCAGAAGCATAACAATCGGCTGCTGTTCTCAATATAGAAGTTCAACAAAAGATCGTCAATTTGGAAAACTATTTGAAGAATATTTTTGACGGCACCACAATAACAACAACTTTGTTCGTTTTGGATTCACATAAGCAAAGTTATTTCATTTCATAGCAATGCAGCTTTCTTTGACTTTCGACCAGATGCTCGACCAGGTGCTCTTTCGGGCACCAAAAACTTAATTTTGCTACGAAAACACGAAAGCAAAACATATTCATTTAGTGCTTAAACAACGTTAGTAGTTTAGTTTCTCTGAATCTTAGATTTTCCGCTAGATCGACACATTTAGCACGATCGACTTTATGCTCTTCTTTTCAACGATTGGGCCATTTCGGGGTATTCTGGTCTAGAAATTTGAAAAAGGCGATTTGTTGCATATTTTCAAAGTTTAGACCTTCAAAATGCCCTTATGCTCTTTAACGGATTTTTAGAAATTCGAATTTTTTTGGTGACGTGGCGGCCGGTCCAGCATCTCACAAGCAACTTTTTTTGAGGCGTTTGACATGACATTTCAAGTTCTGCTTAACCGATTCCTTTGAATTTGATAAACATCTTTCTTATACAGTACATCTCTCACAAAATACATTGCGAAATTTAAATTTTATGTGTTTTTAAAAATTCGAAAAAGCTAAAAATGAAGTGAACTCTATTTTTTCCCAAGTCGTCGCAATTTTGTGAATTTTTTTTTCATTAGCAAAGCTCAATGCGATACCGACATCTTTACTATCTTTACTAATGAAGCATTTTGTCAATTTGTTTGCTTTAGATCGCTACAAAGGTCGGAATCGTATTAACCAGGAAGCACCTTTTTTTGCATCCCCAAATTTCGTTATACTTTATCTTAGTTTGAAGAATCCTAAAATTTAGGCGTTTAGACCAGAATACCCTCTCACAAGAGCTTTATATTTAGACTTCAGGAAAAATAAGGACGATAGATTTCTAAGAAAATACAACGTGTTTTTTAAGTAATAAGTACGAGGTAGCCGGTTGGTTTCTTCGACCAAAGCTACATGGCCATTTTGGGATCGTTACTGAAGGTCGAATCTAAATCAAATGCTTGAAATAAAGCGTAAACACATCCCATATACATACATATATACTTGCTATACCTTTGCATGTGTATTGCATGCGGGCTGTTGGCTGTTTGGCCCACGCACGACTGCTTGGAATGCGCTCATTTGTTCAAATGTCAACAAGTTGACATATTCTAAATTTGTGTTCCCTTCGTTTTGGTAATTGATTGCGGAGCCTTTCAGGCATATGAGCACATTAAGCCGAATTAGAGGCACATCTCCACACACACACATACGAACACTACGACATACAAACATGTGGATGAATTTGCATCTGGGAAACTGACAAAGCTTTAGGAACTCTATTCAACCCTAACCTAAAATAAGTTTTAACATGTCAATATTGTAAATTGAACTGCATTTTCACAACGTTTATTGAACTTAACTTATCATTGGCAGAAAACGACCACAAACATTTGGAAATATTGAGTAGTACTTCTTTAAGGACGTCTTCCCGAGAACTTGCTGATTCTTCATAAAATTTTCAATTTTTCGTCGGGGCCCTTCCTTACACGAGACACGTGCGACCCCTCAAATTTAGCCCCAGCAGATGTGTACATTCTCTCCTTTGGATACAAAAATTATGTAAGACGAAATGAAGCGCGAGTCAACAGGAATCTTTGAACTAAAAAACTGTTTGGCACAAAAAGTAAACAAATAAATTGAGTTACAATTTCAACAATGAGCAAATAGACGCGGGCGAAATAAACTAAAACATCGAATTATTAAACGAAAAGCGAGGGCAAATAACGCAGCTATACAAATGCACATACATACAGTTGTCCATATGTATGAGTAAACAGAAACAAGCAAATTTTGAGCAACTCGAGCGACTAAATCAAAAATCCATTCACATACACCAACTCAGTCTTGGTCCCTCAGTTCGGATGCTGGTACGGCTGCGGTCCAGTCCGAGTCCAAACTCGAATCGAAATCATACAAAATTATGTCAACAACGAACACATTGCAAAAAGAAGCAAGAACAAATGCTTGAAAATGAGCGATTTTTAACAGGGCGGTGGGCGAGAGGCGGACCCGACTGCAAATATTTGCGTTAAAAAAGTTAAAAGGCAAACATTAGCAATAACGGAACGACTGCGAGGATGCCAAGAACAATATTTGCTCCAGTCAGCTGCCAACTGCCAGGAAAACTGAATATGTAAGTTGCAGATGTACGATTRGGTATATGTGTGTTTGTTAGTGTGCGCTTTTTGGTTGCACGTTGTCGTATGTGTGTATGTAGATACAAACAACGGCAATATAAGCATCGAAATAACTGAAAATGATGACAATGATTATGTGTACCTTGGAACATTTGACAAACACACGAGTTCGACTTCAGACCCGCTTTACTCGCTGCATACTAAAAAATATATAAATTATGTGTGTAAATGTGCGCGCGTATGCGTATACGCGTACTTCTGGCTATACAAATATAGATAGATAGAACTTAAAAACGCGCTGTTGGAAATATTCGCAACGTCCCGCTCGTTTGACTGAGAGCTTGCTGTTTATTCGCTGATAGCCGAGACGCTCACTCCTGTGCGCTCGTACTTGCGCACCCATAAGCTTCAACCCTCGCCAGTGTAATCAACTGGCGGTCGACCTCCCCTCAGCGCCGGAATTTACAAAGTTTAAAACGCTTTAAATTGTTTCGCAACTGTGGAGGGTGGCTGGCCAGGCATAAAGGCCAAGAAGTGTGGGCGCCAAGCTGCCATAACGAATCTCGACACATTGGCGAATGGCGAACTTGGATTTACATGTTTGCATTTAAATGGAWTTGTAATGTGCACTCCCAGACACTCYTGCTCACTCACACAAACACACATTTTGCTAAGAAGTGCTATCTCCTTGGCAATCGCACGAAACACACACAAAATTTACTCATATATAGTATCTACATACATACATATGTATGTGTGCCTGAATTTGACATCAAACCACACATTGGCGGTTGCCTTTTGCTCAATTTGCATACTGTTATTCCAAATGGCGCCCGACGAAGCTGTGTGCTTGTAAAATGGCCGACTTCACTTGATGCGTTGGCATCTAGCTTCCGCAAAGTAAGCCATGGTATCAAAGAGATCACAAAAGAGATCATTTTACTTGTGAAATTGCTTAGCAAAGTTTATCTCTTCCCCGGTCTTTTGTGTTGGCCGAATTTGAAGCCCCGTCAACGTGTTTACACAATTAATTAACTTCACGCATAGCTCTTTCGACGCCAATCACATTTCCGTCGCTATTTAGTTTAGTGGTGGTGTCATGCGAGTGACAACAGGCTAACAAACTTGACCATTTGAAATCGTAAACCCTTTTCGTCTACTTAAATCCATTTCAAGAGGCCTAATCATTTAACGCACATCATAAAAATCACATCAAGTGTTTTTTATTTACAAAAGGGTAAGGACACACTGAACAAGCACTCACACCCTYACATAACGTTCTTTAGGCAGTAGAGTCAGTGGAGCACAGAGAAGAAATCAGAGAAATTGCGCTAACCAATTTCTTAAGCAAAAAAAGGGCGAGCAAACCAGCTTGTAGTATTCTAGAGTAATGGTGGAGAGAAGTACTTGTCAATGTGTGTATGCAAGTAGTATATATGTATGTATGCATGTATTTATGTATATACGCATTGATTGCAGATATGATCTCAAATCGCATTCCAATATCTTTGTTTTTCTTGTTTTCTTCTAATGACATTAAATATTGTTATGTGCAATTCCAAATGCCCAAATGTATGTGTGTGTATATAACTAGTTTATTTAAACCAAGCCTGACTCTTTAATATGCGGTGGTTTTCTTATTTACATTTTTTTTGTATTAGTTTGACTGATTTTCGTTTGCTATGGAATGAAGTATGAAGTGAAGTAAATGATTTTTGTCCAACAAGAAATCAGAGCTTACAGTTTGAAATTTTTATAAATAATTAATTCACTTACCATAAACTTCGCCTTGCACAATTTCCTTAAGCCTTCTCTGTTAGAAAATCGTTATTTTCAAAGTACCTTTAAGTATTTCTCAAGATTGTCTTTTTCAGATTTAATTTCTTTTTTTTTTTCAATTTATTCGTATGCAGATCTCACTCAAAATCACAACATTCACAGGCCGTTGCAAAAAAAAAACACATTTCTATTGCCTGGAGTATTTAAAAAATATATTTTGAATTATAAAAACAAAGTTAAACAGCTGATTTTGGCATTATGTGCAGCGACGTTCGTTGCTAAATAATTGTTTCTGACCTCCGCGTTCTTTGCTTTGACTGTATCATAGCTCACAACCGAATAAGTGCGACGCCCAGCGTGAAATAGTTTTAGCTGTGAAGTAAACTGGCTATTCGCAATTTCAATTTATTGTGAACGAAGTATTAAAGTGACAACTGGCAAAACGGCTGTTTTTAGACAAATAAGCTGATTGATATCGCGCACAATTGCAGAATTTTGATAAATTACGTGGCGTTCTGATTGCTACCGTTTTCTTTATAAACTAGATGATGGAAATTATATTTTAAAAATTCCAATACTAACATAACCTTAACTTAATGGCTTTCGTCCAAGTGGTGCAGGTGATACTTATCGCCGGCTTGTCATTGGTAGCTGGAATCTTAGCTGTGGTAAGATATRTTTTTAAATATATATTTGTTATGGAAATACATTTCAAAAATACTTCAGCTTTTTGTTATACAAAAAGCTATAACAAAACCATTTCCTGTTATTAAAAGACGAAAGGAGGAGAGGCATTTCCTTGACCCAATAARGATACAAAATGTTGATTTTCCCTCTGTGGAAGATGAACCAACAGTTCACTTAAGTGTTATTATTCCAGCTTATAACGAGGAACAACGGTGTGAGTAAAACGATTAAAAATACTTTTTCCAAAAATGATTAAATACAATTTGTGTTTTTCAGTGCCAAAAATGCTGGAAGAATGCATGAGTTTCTTAGAGGAAAAAGCAAAACATGAGATATTTACTTACGAAGTAATTGTCGTTAGTGATGGGAGTAGTGATGGCACAGTTTCTCTTGCATTAAAATATTCAAAGCGCTACACCGTGGACAAATTTCGAGTGTTAGAGCTTTTGGACAACCGAGGCAAAGGTGGAGCTGTTCGTTTGGTAGCTAAGCAAGTGTTGAGTCATACTATTTTTTTTTAATTATACGTATTTTTGAAGGGAATGCTAAGTGCAAGAGGCCGATACTTATTATTTGCTGATGCAGATGGTGCGACGAAATTTTCGGATTACGATAAGTTGGAAAATAATATGAAAAGTATTACAAAAGATTGGCAGTTAGATGGAATTGTGGTCGGATCGCGCTCACATCTTGAGCAGGATGCTATTGCATCACGTAGTCTATTCAGGTTAATAATGCGCTTTTACTTAGCAAGTGTGTGTTTTGCAGCATTAAGATTTTGTTTCATATATTTTTAACAGAACACTCCTTATGCACGGTTTTCATTTCCTTGTATGGCTCTTTGCAGTCCGAAGTATACGAGATACCCAATGTGGCTTTAAATTACTAACTCGTTCCGCTGCACATACTTTATTTAAAAATTTACACGTTGAACGTTGGGCTTTCGATGTAGAGCTTCTATACATAGCGGAACGCTTGAAGATGCCAATAGCTGAGGTGGCAGTAAACTGGAAAGAAATTGAAGGCTCTAAATTGACGCCGGTCTGGTCCTGGATTCAAATGGGAGTTGACTTATTTTTGATCTGGTTCAGGTATACGATCGGAGCATGGCAGCTTTGTGATCAAAATAAAGARCATGTATCGTAAAAGTCAACAATTTAATTTTAATACGAAATTCGCGCAAACTTACGTTCCAGTACTACTGCATTGTTGAAAGACGATTGTTTAAACAACAATACATATTTAAGTATTCTAATAGTAAACCAAACTCATGAATGTTTTTTTTTTTTTTAATAAATATTTGCATTTTCTCGAAAAAAKAAGTAATGAAGTCTGGGTAAACAAGTTATTTACCTTAAAATTATTCAGTAAATAAAATCTCTTAAATATAAGTTTCAATTGTAAATCAATTTGTCTTTTTGAAAAACGTGGACAGTTATAAATTACACATAAATCTGTATTTTACTAGACATGTTACATTTACATGTTATACATAACATCAATGTTATCTGTGTACTTGCCATACCAAAGCGATATGTTCGAGAGTACTTTGAAATTACTATTAATATAGAAGATTTTTTTCATTTACCCTCCCTTTATCAACTTTTTTTTTTCAGTGATTGCAACAAAATTACTGGGGTATCACCCACATTAATAGTAGACATTTGTTTATATATTATTTCATACCCCTTATACTCTCTACAAATAAAACGATATGGCTTACCACTTTGTACCATGTACGGATACAATTACAGAGATCTGGCAACGTTTTACCCGGTGAATGTTAAACGAGATAAAGAAATAATGARCAAAAGAACAATGATGAAAACTCGAAAGTGGACAAAGAGAAACGATCGCCTTGGCGCAGTCGTAGAGAAGAAGAGTGTACGATCAAAGTAGGGCTTAAATGTAGTACGCGGTATGGCAGAGGATTATTTCCGCGAATCCAGCTGAAAAAATATCAAAAAGTAAAATTTTTTTCCTAATATTTGCTCGCAAAATTAATAACCAGGTGAATTAAAGGGTATAATGAAACACAATAAATACGATAAGTTAAATAAAATATCCAAAGATATACATAAGTGCGTGTTTATACATTAGTGGAGTAATGAGTAACGAAATAAAGCACAAAACAACAAGTAGATGCCGAGACTACAATGATCGAACGAAACGTCGGGGTAGGGGCAGATATGAATGAGTCTGAAATTCCTAGAATTGAGACCTGCTGAATTCGTTTGGATACGTTTCGTTAATTCGTTCAAACATTCCCTTGATATATGTATATGTATATTTTATGAAATGCATCTTTCCTTCAGCACAGTGACATTTAAAAAGTGATAAGAGGTATTCTTAATAATTTGATAAGATGTTGACGTTAGAAGAAATCCAATGCTTATCCGATAAAGGATCTCTTGTATAATGAAATCAAAGACGAGGCAATGCAGGTGAAAGTTTGTGCGCAAATAATACATACGTATATATTTAAGAAGGACTTAATACGCTCTCCTGTTTATAGATGAAAGCTTAATGTTAAAATCAATAAATAACTTATAATCCAAACGCAGTCAAAATATAATGCCCCAGTAAGAAAGAGTTTTTGAACCCTAAGTTAAGTTTACTGAACCTAATTAGCGGTTAACATAATTATTTAACAACAGGAAATTTTAGATTTGTACCTAAAGTAAACAATTCGTAAAAGTTGTGTATTTCTTTTTTACAGCCCGATCTCCTTTTAAATATGTATATGTGATAAATACGGAAAAAAGAGAAACAAGTGGGGCTTCAATCAAGATAAAAAAGTTATATAATTTCGTTGGAATCAGATTTTGGCGCAGACATGAACCGATCCTCACATGGTAGTATTCGTTCATCTTCTTCTACAGTTTGCAGTAGCAAATCATTTCAAAGTAGAATGGATAAGGTCTCCGAAAGGCTGTATGATATTGTTAAAAGCGGATCGATGGTAAAACGAGCTCAGAATAAAAAACGTTTTACACCAGTCAACTATAAACAACGATGGTTTGAACTCACCAAGAAGTCGTTATCCTATTTTGATGTGGAAAATATTGAAGTAAGTGCATTCATTACACAGTTTGTAGTTAGATAAAAAAAATGCGAGTATACAAAATTACGTTTAAAAGCTACTCCAAGTAAATCCGACATTTCCAAATACATTAAAAAATAATTGATACGATCCAGGATATTTCGGAAAAGAAATATATCTATCATACCTCTATATTATTTGGAGAATGCTTTACACTGAAACAACAGTATATTATAGTATATACAAATGATAAACATTTATGTACATATGTAGTGTTAAAATACTAAATCGAGTATCACCTAATCCAGCTGAAACCAACAATTCTGTCGGAGGAATTCTACTGGTTTTATCAGACAATAAATACGGGCTGCTTTGTATTTACATTRTATTGAGGTAATGCAACATGTGTAAATGCCGGTCTGTTAACATCAACCCTTATCTATTACTCAATGGCAAAGAAATACTTTCCAGTCTACAATATGGCCGCTTTTGCCTTCATTGTTTGTTATTAGGCTAGGCATTTTATCTCCTATAAACATTGTAGACAACTATATCTAATATATTTTAATTAGCTTGRGTGACAATAGTAATCCTTTAACTACCATTCAGGTCTTAAAAAGCTTCTCGTAAAATCCATCGATGATAAGAAGTGGCTTAAGAATTATAGGTCCCTCTATTTCTCGGATATAGTAAACCCAAGACCCAAACAATGTGTGGAAAAAATCGGTCGAAGTATCAGACAAAGCACTGAACGCCAATTCGAAACGTATACATACATACGTCAGATATTTATATTATGTTTTCAAATTCATTTTTTTTTTTTTTAATATACATACATATACAATTAATATATTGAGTAAACATTTCTGATCTCTCCAAAAACGTAAGGTTTGCACATCTGGCAATTATTTTATTTGCATAATTCKCTTTTCTACATATGTTTTCCCAACTGAAAATCTCCACATAGGGAAAACCCTCCCTGATTTGTTGTTTTCCAATTGGTATACAGGCGCATACATAAATATCCCCCGTATCCTGGCAAGTGTGCAGGAATAAGTCTCTGTTTTTCGCTACCGTGAAGAACATTGATTTCATTGCTTGAAATAGACAAGTGAACATAGAGACAAAAGTTATTCAACCTCAAATAAGTTTATGATAGTTTTTTGTACAAAACATAACAGATTTTTTAGCAATCAAAAGGACATAGTTTTTACATATTTGCTTTTACGACGTTTTCCACGTTTTAATGAGTAGAACAGTTTAATCATCTCCTTCGAAAACGGGCGTGTTTTATGTTATTGTTTTAAAAGAAGTTAGTAAGTTTTGGAAAAGAAGTGAAAATTATTCCAAATATAAATATATTTAGCTCAGCAGAATATTTATACAAAATTACCTAAATAAAGGTTATATTTAACATTGTCAAAAACACACCCAAATGCGCACAACAAATTGTTAAAAAATTTAAGAAAAAAAAATAAAATAAAATATTAAAATCTGCGGAATGGATTAACAATTTGTTAACAAAAATTTGTGCCAGTTTAAAAAGATTGACAAGGTGTTTTGAATGGGTAGAATCCATATATTACAAAATAAAAGAACAAACTTCCCAAAGCCCCACCCAAGGAAACTTGTGTATAGAAAAATTTTAGTATACGGCACCGGTCATTGAGAGTATTCATGTAAGTATTAAAAACAATTACAATGAAGCACTAGCAATTTACTAAAAGAAAAATCTCCWTTAGAGCTATACTTTGGAATTTGGTAAAAGTTCTTTTTCCTTCGGAAAAAACTTATAAAAATTATAAATAATATAAAAATGTATTAAAAGGGTGGTGGAAAGTGAACATTTGCCATTAAAAAACCCCTCTTGGATAGGGTGTCTATTCGGTATCAAAACAACGCGTAAGCGATAATAAGCTCCATACGTAAGATGGGGGTTCAGTGAACTTKTAGAAAAAATTGTAAATGAATGAAACACTTTTCGCAGCTGCAGTACAAATGTTTGACGATTATACAAAATATATTATATTGCTGCTATAATTAATGCAAAAAACGATTTTTTAAAATGTTTGTAAACAGACAAAAATTTGAAGCGCTTGGGTTTGATTTTCATATTGAGATGTTTTTATTTGTAGCGTCGTCGGGAGCGTGGTCGAGTTCCAGTAAAAGGCGTACGCTTGGTTGAAACTGCTATTGTTAGTGGAGAGGGTGGAGATCCTTTTGCACCAAACGTGAGTAAAATATTTGAGTATATACAAAGTCTTCTATGCTGAAAATGTTTGTTGCAGGGATTTCCGTTTCARGTTGGTTATTGTGAGTCCTCCAATGATCAGCAGCTATCGGGACGCTCTGTACCGCAATATATTTTATATTTATTAGCGAGTAGTGAAAGGGAACGTGATGATTGGATACGTGCCATAAGAGAGGGTTAGTCGAATAAGACGTTARTCCGTTTTTAAATCATTCAAATTTTAAAATTTTGTTATTGATTTATTAGTTTGTGAAGAAACAAATACACCGAAGTCATATCGTTTTCATCCGGGTCTCTGGACCGGTAAAAGGTGGTCCTGCTGTAAAGGAATAAGTCGAGCAACGTTCGGATGTCAGGCTGCGACCCATTGGTTGGAAGCGAATAATAATCCAAGTGAGTACACTCGAATATATACTATTAATTACATCATTTTTACATATGATGTATTACTTATTGATAGCCTACAATATTTTGGTGTCACATAATAACATATGTAACTGTAGAACCTAATTAATAGAATTAGCAATAAACAAATATGCTAAGGGCAACCATTTTCTTATTTACTTCTTTCAAAACAAGAATGCTTGAGTGAAATTTCGTTCAAATAAAATTGTAGCGAAATATTATTAAATGACTTAATATTCAGTAATATTTGTTTATTTAAAATTATGAAATTATTTATTTCCTGACTCTTTTATTTAAATGAGTAAATRTGTCTACAAATACACAATAGTGAGTAAGAATCTGTTGAGCATTTCCGAGCGCAAGAAAGACACTCAAAATTCAAAAACCGGTTGCATTTCTGCCAAATTTATAAAAAAAAAAAAATTAAAAGACTTTGGGAGCAAATCGTAACTAAGAAAAAGAACTGATAATTGAGCGAAATAGCAAAACGGTGAAACTTTTGTTCCTGAAGTCTAGAGCCTAACTAGAGACTGGCCGCTAGATCAGCAGACTGTAGGGCAAAAGGCAAACGAGTTTTACTTATTTCTTTGGTTGCATATGTTTTGTTTTTATCTTTTTGATGTCTTACACATTCTCCCAATAGTCGAATTGTGTACAACCATTATATGAACCATTAGCACAGACACGTGCAATGAACTTGACAACTTTCAACTGTCGTTTATTTGTTGTCTGTTCAGTGCTCWTTTATCCAAATTATTTGATTTTTTCCTATTGTACTAAAGGTAAATACATATGTTTCTATTATTTGTTTGCTTACACTGAAATTCATATAAACACTTGAAGAAAGTCTTCAWGATATTATTAATCCAGGATTGTTACATATTCATATATATGCTATATATGGGCACTATATGCCCAAAATAATATGGTTGTGAGTCACCACAAATATACATATTGTACAATCCTATGCGGCCGTTAGATCGAATCAATTATCGCTTTATTCTCTATTTTGACTCAGGAACTTGTCTAATTTACTAACAACTCACCCTGTATTTGTGGAAATGTTAAAACACATACATACAGGCGTATTCATGTAATTTCCTAAAATATCTTTGGAAAAGTTTGTCTTATGGAGAGTCCATGGTCCATGATCGATTAGCTGTGAAATACTGGTTTGTCTATAGCGTGCATGTTTGTGTGAGTGTGTCAGCATCTCTGTTCATATCAGCAAAACATAGTGTTCACCTTTTGATTAATGATTTGGTTATTTTGTGATTCTAAACGTGGGAAATTAACCGGGTAATAAAGCCTAAGACATTTCTCTTGTAGCTGACCACGCACTTTTCGTAAGAACATATAAAGTCACTTAACATCTATGGCTCGCTAGGTTGAAGAAATTAAATTTTGTGAAATTTTTATGTTTTATTATTTTAAGCTTGAATCTAATATACACAAATTGATTATGAATCAGGAAAGACTATACATCTATTAGTTAAAGCACATATGTTCATATGTAAATATGTATGAATTTGTAAATACGTTAATATATTTGTATTAATATTTAGCCCTTAGGGTGCAGACACATCCGTAATCAATTGGAATCGATGATTTAACACCGATTTTTTGTTTCTAACAATAAATTCAATATTGAAATCTTGCGTATGCTAAAAGTCATTTTGGGATAAATGAAATTATTGATGAATATTTATTATACATACTACATGTGTATGTGTGATATTACTGAGGCTATATATTTGAGATCTTATAATAAATTTCATTAAGGCGAATTTAGTTTATTTCTTTGAAATAAAAATGCAATATAACATTGTCATTAAACTTGCTATTTCCCAAAAACCTCAAAAAAATAACATTTGCATTTCCATACATACGTTCATAAAAGGTGTTATATTCAAAATATGTACCCATCTAAATTGAAGAAATTGTAGGTATATCCTCAAACTAGAATTGCTTGGGGAATGGCAGCGCCGAAATCACTTTAAATATGCTTATGCACCAAGTCATTGTGTGCACTGAAAATGATGAGCTATTTAAAGTTCACACAAATGTGCAATGTGTGCATAGATGCTTTAGTGTGTGTTATAAACGATTATGTGCGTAAATGCATKTGTATGTTTATGTAGCCTAACTTCTAGTAAAGATTCCCCCTTTTTGAGAGTTCTTCGAAATTCTCTGCCCAACCCAATTTATCTTTCGTACTCCCTTCTTCCAAAAATTGGTTGGTTAAGGCTACCCAACTTGTTGAGCAAGCTGTTTTGAGCAGAAATTGCTATGAGAGGAAAGCAGTAAGCACTATCACTCGGACCGTACCACTTTGGTTTCAGTTTRCGGCGAGACTCAAGCGAATGTGATCGTGCTGTGAGACACCTCTTCGGCGCCTGAAGTGTGTGTGGCATTGTCTGTAGCTCCGGTAAATTCATTGTTGTGCTAATAAAGTAAAAATTAACATACACATGCATACACTCGTCGGTTTTTATGTATACAAAATACAAAATATGTGCACAGGCTTGAAACGTGCTTAAAATGTATGATTATTTATTTTTATTTTGTTATTGTGTTGTTTGGTTGAGAAAATGTGAATAATATCGGGTGAAATAGAAAAACGTCACTTATCTCGGTATTTTCCAGCTCGAAGACTCTAGAGAGKATTTATTTTTCCATAATTGAAACCGATTTCTATATTTCTGCTAAATAGTAAAAGCCAACGTGTTATCTGCAATCTTTGACTAGCAATGCATAAATGCACAACYAATTCGAATGAAATTTTCAAATTAATATTTTTAAACTCACAGTGCACAAATGACAAAAGTAGCTAATTGGAAGWTTATTTGTAGGAAGAATTAATTGAAAAAATGTGGTGGAAATTGCATTTACATACACTCAAGGCCAAATAGWTTACGGTGTTAATTCATGTACATATACATACATAGTTAAGTGTGTGTGGCTTCAAAGAAAACAACGCATTTAGTCATATCCTCCTTTTCAGAATAACAAATAAATATAAATATGAAACAATTCTCAAAGGTTTATTGAATGAACTATACCGTACCTGTGCGATTCCAGCAAAACCAAAAAAGTTACCAAAAGCAAACTCAAGAGTGAATTTGTAATGAGGAGCACTCAACTATATTTGACGAACGAAGTCTTATGAGAAAGCAATAGTAAACTAATTATATACGTATATGTATGTATGTATATGTGCATGAGTGTATGCATGTAGGAAAACAAATTTGTTCATATCGTAGAACTGTTTTCTCATGCGGTGCCTTTTCTATTGCCTCCGAAGTTTTACTAAGATAATTTGCACTAAATGMGCATTTCCCTAAACCGGTTCGGTATTTTACCTGTTGCCTTTACCGTACGCAAGATAAAATTTGGACAATGTAAACGGAGAAAATGAAGTATTCGCGTCAAACATTTTCTTAGAAAATGTATAAAACTTATTCAGAACTTATCACGAATTCGATACGACCTGTCTTATTATGAATATGTTATCTTTGGATCCCTACATAAACATAGAAATGTGTAATTTCGTATAAATAGAAAATAACCAAAAGAGGGAATATCTGAAGATCTCACATGGGTGACTTAAGACCCTTAAAAGAAGTGTTCGCAGATAAACATGTCAAGCCACTCCTTAAATCACTTTCTTATTTTTCGCTTTCTTCCTCTTTCTCTCTTGCTTGTGCTTGTTTTGCTTCTTGGACTGCTCACTTATTCACAATAAAAATATGTTGACTTTCCTTAAGCAGGTAATTTTGTGGTGGAGGCTAATTTCTACTTAAATATATATTTATGTGGTTACAGGCATATGTATGTATGTACATATGTCCTATTTGTTTGTGCATACTGATATAAATATGCATTGAAAAAATAAAAACTCTTCATATGTATGATAACAACCACAAACCAAAAAAWTTATCGACTCTACACCTATTGTTTTGTGAAACATTTGAAGCGCATGTCCTTGGTCACGTTGTCCACCCTCAAATTTGAAGAATATACAAACTTCACATAATATTGTTCTATAATATAGGTCTTCATTTACTACACATGTGTGCATTTGGTCATATCGCAAGTAGATTGGCTTCCAATAGCCTAGTGAACACAATTAGTAACTAAGTGAAGATAATAATAAACTTTGAAGCTTACTCTGGTACCGTGACAATGAAAGCCGAATTTATGCAGAGTCGGCTAAACAATTAGKCTACATCTTGTAGTGCGCAAATGATTCCGTGTGTTAGCTTCACGGAAACCAGTGTGCTGGGCAATATGAAAGAACGTGTAAAAGAAATGAAAGTGTTTGGCTGTCGTTTAAATTTTTGGAATAATGTCGGACAATGCCTGCCAAGCTCAAAAGGTATGTACACATATTACAAATAAGAAGTTAGATGTCTTTAGTATACCCATTTTGAGATATCACTAAAATTTAAGAATTGAAGTTATAAGTCATCCCAAAGGAGCTGGAGCCATCTTAATATATTTTTAATATATAGCAAATTGCTAGCGTGTTTCTTTAATCGATCGTAGTGACAATTCAATAAGGTCGGCACAATATGTTCCCAACAGAATTTCTACAAAAGGTGTCTCCAGGCCTGATCAAGTAGCATTTGTCGTTACTCGATAAATGTTAATCCTTCCCGCCTGTAGCACTATCGAATAAATMTATTTATGTATATTCTCTCAGTATTTACTATTGCGGTAAGTGCATGTTCCCAAAGTTAGGCAAACATTGTAGCTTGCTCGCAGCTGTTGCTGACGTCTTTAACTTATTTTTATTTTATTTTATGTGTGTGTATGTGTGTATCTGAAGCAAACACGTGTACGTGTGAGTGGCTACTATTGAGCTGCGAAACCAGAAGCGARGTTTGCTTGCTTTTCATTGCCGTTGTTGTTGTGTTGCTGTTGCTATTGCTGTTGTCGTATTACCAGATATACACAGCCATGCGTTGAGTATTTGTACAAATTGTTGAAGTTTATTTTTTATACCACTACTATCGCATGTGCATATACAGGTGTGTGTGTGTGTGTGTGTGTGTRTGTGTGTGTRTGTGTGCAGCACGCATTGTGTATGAAAGTTAAGATACTTCGACTTAAGTTTGTTTGAATATGCATAGTGGTTTTTCCACTTTTTTACCGTTTCTGCCAGCTACTGTCGCACCAACTGACTGTGCCGTTGACTATTGTCTCCTGATAGTAACTCAATTTAAGCGCAACTAAATCTGACACTAACTTCGCTCACAGCTCTCTTCTGAAGTGGCCTGTGAACAGTTTTACTGAATGCAACAACAGTAACCACAACGACAGCGATAGATGCATAGACGCAGTAACAGGTTGGCAGGTTGGATACTATTTATATTTCTTCTTCTTGCCCAGTTGAGTTTTAACTTTTATTAATAGAAGATCGTCGTGTACTCGCAATGCCATCGGAGACATATATACATAATTGAATAAACACATATATATTATGTCTCATGGCTTAAAAAATCTAAACCTAAAGATTTGACTACACTAAAAACAGAATATTAATAATAGAAAAATCAAGGAATAGTAAATTAACCCACATCAGGGCCACTACACGGCTTATAAATATACTTTTGTACTTTCAAATAGCAACCATTTTTCTTACAACAAAGCAAATTTTGTTTGCAGAGTGGAAAATTGCACTATTCATAGTGTGTAGACAACATACATATCTACATAAATATCTCGGTTTACGTAAACTAAGGCAATAAAGAGTGTTTGCAAAAGTGAATTGAAAAGCCTCCGATGGTTAGATATTTTGCTAAGTCGTTAAAAACGGTATTTTCTCATACTCGCGTCTGTATGTATGTACATATGTGGATTGGTGTTATATTCGCAAAGTTGAAAACGAAATAAATGGGTTGAAAAAATAATAACTAAAAGATACATATACCCAAAAGATCAAAATATAACTGGCTAAAAGTGGAAAACTAAGTTTCGATCGAAAATTGACAGAGGAAAAAGCACCTTTTTCGGATGTGCGGATTCGATGTTTTTTTCAATATTGTACCTTGGAGAGACTTCTTCATTTTTTCACTCAATGTTGAATTACAAACTAATTTCATTGTTGTTTTTACGCTGCGTTGCTTGTAGCTTCTTTATAATTACATATGGATATGTATGTGTGTATACATATGTTTTGAAGACGAGGCTTAGTCAATGTGGTTACTGTAGTGTCTTGCTGATTGGTGGTGTTCTTCAAGTGTTAATACTTACTTTATTTATTTATTATCTCTTTTTTTATAACCCATCTAACTTAATGTCTGAAGTAATTACGGACGAATGCATGTTGCGTACGTGTGCGTTACGGCATTTATGGTGTTTGGCTTACTGGTGAACTGCGTTTGAAGGCGATCGCGCAAGTATAGCCATTAGCTGTTTAGAAACATACGCTTATGCTCACACATCAATCCTAAGGCCTATGATTATACTACAGTTTGTATGTGCATGTGTTTTTAAAACCCAACATACAATTTAGATTGGTGCAAACTTTAAGTTAGTCCAGAAGCACAAATTAGAACTCTAAACCGAAAGGGTTTCATTGATAAGCCTGCCATCAATTGTATGACAGGTGCTTGAACCTATTATTAATTAAGATTGTTGGACTTAAACAACACAGAAAGTGCTCGAACCTCAACTAAAAGAACTAAAGAGCGGAGCTTTAGGTTTTACATTATTCATACTAACGGATATATGATTACAAAGATGCTCATAAAGTAAGGTTTTTTAATGTGATAAATGTCTCCGTGAGGAGACATATTTCTGGTTTGAGGTTTCTTGCATAGTGAAGAAGTGCCCCATGGTGTCAAAACTTTATAGGCTTACACAAATTTTAAAAATCGAATATCATATAATTATATCAAGAAAGCTTCCTGCCAATTTACAACCCAAGTCATTTGATTTGATTTCGGATACCCCACATTCGTTCAATTCGAGCTCTATGTTCATRAATCAGCTACATTTGTCCAACCACTTGGAAACCAACACTCAGCACATTATTGCCTAGAGCCCGTTTAAACGCTAAATGTCATAAAATTTTCGAATTAAAAATACATACATATGTATATGTACATTGAAAACTTCTTTTCAATAATTTAACTTTAATAAAACTTGTATCCCTCTAAAAAAAAACACCCTTTGCTTGTTTGTAGTTACCGCGCGCGAAATTTATAACAGCATATTCGCACTCTCACGATCACTTCACTTGCCTTTTTAGCAGTCACAGATTATACCCACTACAGACGGTGAATTGAGTAAAAGCAAACAAAACCGCTACTAGCAACTGAGCGCTTTTAACAGTAAGCATTTCCCTGCAAATTCATCATTCAATTGCTGAACGTCTAAAGATAAATTGAAAGTGAAAACTATTGTGTGTGTATTTGTATTATTTGTTGTTGTCCAACACCTTGCGCCCGGCTCTAAGTGTATCTATTCGAATTAACTGGTGCAAATATGATGCTTTTATCCGCTTTGAAGTTGGGTACGTTACTAGGTATTGTATAAAATGTGTGTTGATTGTAATCTAGTTTTATTTTATTCTCATTTTCCTCACGAGGCGCTAGTTACTAAGCAGAGTTGCTCTTACAGACATAGGATATGTACATATTTATCCAAGATACGAGTACACGTATGTATATTTCTCACAAAAACAAAAAAGTATATGTACCAAATATGAGAAAGTTGAAAAGTAGTCGTAGTGATGATTTTGAATGCATTTGTGTCCGATATCTTTGTTGCCGTTCGGTGCTATTTCAGCAAAGCAGCTGTTTTAGGAATGTTGCATCGTCTATTATGGCAGGTTGTTATTTTGTTGCGATGTGTCGACGTACGCAAACTGTTTTACCTTTCATTTATAAAGTACCGTTACCGTTACGTATTCGCGTTTGTAATCAGTAGAAGTTTTCTTCAAACTAAACTGAGCTTTTAAAATAAATACGCCAAAGTATATGCAAACATATGTATTTATATTGTTTTTGAGGGATTTGATTTTTTWCTGATTTCATTCAAAATCAATGCAACCAAAGCAAAATTTTGAAGCCAAGCAAGACAATGCAATATATTAATAATATATATTGAAGCTTGCTGCAATATATTATGATATAGTTATAAAGTTAGTTAGTAAATAGTAAGTGAATTCAATAACCTGCCAAAATAAGCCTTGAATCTATGCACATAATACTTTGGTTTGTCCATGACTCAAGCGCTTTTTCTTCGCGAATACGCGACCTCCGGCTGACGTGCGTTCAGCCAACAAACGACTGACATCCCACAACGAGCTCAAAGCTAAAACACTTTATACAATTTTGGCAACACAGTTGCGCAATACTTTGATGGTTTGAAAACTCCTACACCAAACGGTATTCGCTGTCGCTTTAAGCGGACAATGTACTAAAGGCCATTTGTATTTTTGGTTGTTATGCATAAGTATGTAGTAGCACAAATGCGTGTATTAGCCTATTTACAAGCATTTTCCATTTCCAATCAATTTTGTTATGAGRTTAATATTTAATTTTATTAATTTTTATAGGTACAGGAAGCTCTCCTGCCCAGAACACCACTCGTAGTAGTAGTCCGAACAACTCCACCTCGACCAGTCAATTTAATCTGCATCATAATAGTTCCGGAAGTTTGGGGAGCTCGACACCTACATCTGCACCGCTACAAGTAAGATAACTTTCGTTTAGAGATTTTTCCACTTGCATATTTTCACATGTTCTGCTCCGTTTAGCCTTCGGTTACCACCTTTAAGCAATCACCAAATATTTTGAATAGCGGCGCTACATCGTTGGACAACACAATGCCGGGAGGTATTCCAACGCCGGGTACTCCAAATTCTAAGTCTAAGGTAAGTTTAAGCCCTGGCAAATAGTAATTTATATATGGCATATAACTTTGKGCATTTGTGTACATTTGCAGGATAATTCACATTTCGTCAAAGTTGTGGTGGCTCTTTACCCGTTCAAAGCAATTGAAGGTGGCGATTTATCACTCGAAAAGGTAGGGTAGCCTTTTTATTGACGAATAGAATGCATTTGCAATTATGTTGGTTCTTTATTAGAATGCTGAATATGAAGTGATTGATGATTCCCAAGAGCACTGGTGGAAAGTGAAGGACGCTGTGGGCAATGTGGGCTATATACCAAGTAATTACGTTAAGCCGAAAGCTTTGCTAGGCTTGGAGCGTTATGAGTGAGTGCACAAATTTYCCAATATTTATTCAGAATTCCTTGCATTTAAACAAACATTATTTTGACACACAGATGGTATGTTGGCGATATGTCTCGCCAACGCGCTGAATCTCTTTTAAAACAGGGTGACAAAGAAGGTTGTTTTGTTGTGCGGAAATCATCGACAAAAGGTTTATACACGCTGTCTTTACATACCAAAGTGTGAGTATATCAAWATACTCGTATATTCTAGGCAACAAAAGAATAACTTTTGCATATGCTTCTCTTCTCTCTAACTATTTAGTCCACAATCTCATGTGAAGCATTATCACATCAAGCAAAATGCGAGAGGCGAGTACTATTTGAGTGAGAAACATTGCTGTGAGACCATACCGGACCTAATAAACTATCATCGACATAATTCCGGGGGATTAGCGTGCCGTTTAAAATCATCGCCTTGTGATAGACCAGTTCCACCAACTGCTGGATTGTCCCACGGTAAGTGGTATTAGTGTTTATTTGTGGAGCATGTTTCAAGCTCACTTATATTTTTTTATACAACAGATAAGTGGGAAATTCACCCAATGGAGTTAATGCTCATGGAAGAGCTTGGTTCGGGACAATTCGGTGTGGTACGACGGGGAAAATGGCGCGGATCCATTGACACTGCTGTTAAAATGATGAAGGAAGGCACAATGTCCGAGGACGATTTCATTGAGGAAGCCAAAGTGATGACCAAATTGCAACATCCTAACCTTGTGCAATTGTATGGCGTTTGCTCGAAGCATCGTCCTATTTACATTGTCACCGAATATATGAAACATGGATCATTGTTGAACTACTTGCGCCGGCATGAGACCACACTGATTGGTAACATGGGTTTGTTGTTGGACATGTGTATACAGGTATGTATAATCGATTTCTCCGTTATTTTGCAATTCGCAACCTTACATTGTCGCTTTGTTATTGCGTCACAGGTTAGCAAAGGAATGGCTTACTTGGAACGTCACAACTACATTCATCGTGATTTAGCCGCACGTAATTGTCTCGTTGGTTCGGAAAATGTCGTAAAAGTCGCAGATTTCGGTTTGGCTCGTTATGTTTTGGACGACCAATACACAAGCTCAGGTGGCACTAAGTTTCCTATTAAATGGGCACCGCCGGAGGTATTGAATTATACGCGTTTCTCTTCCAAAAGCGATGTTTGGGCATACGGTACTTAGCCTATATTCGAAATGAGTTCAGTTTAAACAATTTTCTCGTTTTCTCGAATTTCTCATTTAGGAGTACTTATGTGGGAAGTGTTCACCTGTGGCAAAATGCCTTACGGCCGTCTTAAGAACACCGAAGTGGTGGAACGTGTCCAACGTGGTATTATATTAGAAAAACCAAAGTCATGTGCAAAGGAAATATACGATGTAAGTAAGGCCACAGAAGCCTGCAACTTTTCTCATAATAATTGAAAATTGCATTTACATTACATTAATTTGTGCTGTTCATATTTATAGGTTATGAAGAAATGCTGGTCTCACGGTCCGGAAGAGCGCCCCTCATTCCGTATTCTCAAGGAGCAACTAGCCCTCGTCGCTCAAACACTAACTGACTAAGCTTCAGCTGAGTTTATCGATGCGACATCAGTGATTGTCGAATTATGTACTGAGTTAATTTATATAGATATTAGCTAAGTAATCGAGGAGTGAAATATTAGGAAGGAAAATAGAGTTTGCCAAAAGCTTATTCTTTAGAAACAAGTAAATGCTAAGTAAAGTAATCAAACTGCTAATATGAATTCATAATATCATCCATCTCTTAAAGTAATCAATACTTTTGTGGAAACTAAACAAAAAAATATAAGTAGGAATATAAAACAAGTCAAATAATTAAAAAATATGAATAAAGCAAAMAATTTCATATTAAGAATAACGCTCTTCGCAAGCGTGCGATTTGCTAAGGTATTCGAAAAGTTGTCAAGCTGACTTAAATACATACATAAGTTATGAATGCATCCTAAAATGTTTGTAATTTTTTCAACTAGCCAGCCACGTTAATTAAGAAATGAACAATTGAAAGAGAGATTTTTGAACTATTTTTAGTAAGAAATAACGTTTAGTATGCTTTTTTATTGTGCTTTTTACTTTTATATACACAAAAATGAACGTATGCATACAAAAACTAAATTTAGATATAAATAACGTAATTCGAATATTGAAACTGATTAAATATAATGACTATGGATATCTTAAATGTAAGTCAAGACGCCATGTATGATGTGAGAATAGAGTTCACGTTGAAGAATTTATGTATTATTTCATATTTTTCCGTACAAAACTACGGCAAGTTGAATAAGAGTAAAAATATAATTAAAAAGCGCATATATAAGTGCATAGGAATGATTTCTTTTATAAAATATGTGCCTATCCGGGCAAACACTCACCGTTCTAATATCTGTTTTTCGTTTACATATTTACATATTTCCATATATACATACATATGTATATTCCTTCATGGATAAAAGAAGAACATGAACGAACACATTTATTTTTAAGTCGCATTGTGTGCGCATAGTAATTATGAATTAATATAAATTCTTTTGTGATTTACTTTTAATATTTGCAGATAAAAGTGAAACTTGAATGCACCTTATGCGTATAGCAACCGCCTGTATTATTCACTTAAACATATACATTTGTWTATAYGTATGTGTATTTGAAAACATTAAATATATGTATGGGTGCATTTTGCGATATTTCAAGTTTTATTTGATAAATATTTGTAGAACTATGATTTACATTACTATTTTGATGTACAATTACATATCCGTTTATTCATATACAAACATGCATATGTATTTCTGTGTTATGCATTTGTACGACACGCAATATCCAAGCATTGTTTTTTTTTTATTATTCGTATTATCAATGTTTTAGTTGTATTTAAATTATTTTGTAAGATGTAATAAGAAAATAACGAATAAAAACATACATACGCGTTTTTATCAGCATTTTTTTTWTAATTTTAACTGTGCTAAGACAGATTAATCGCCTCATAAAGCGCATGTGTATTGAACTAAACTACATCCAAATGTAACCAGTTAATAAAAAGTGAAACCGTTTATCTGCTGAAGGAGTGTCACGGCGATGTCAGTTTAGACAATGGGAATACAGTGCTTAGAACCCATTTAAAGTGGGCGGCTGCGCAATGCACTTCGGTTTTTTTCTACACAAAAATTCACATCCCTTATTCAAACTTAAAATGTGTACATGGACATCGATCATTTTAAATATTAATTTTGATTTACTAAACACAAGCCGAAACACGAAATTCACGATTCAAATAAATGCATAATGGGTATAGTTTGGTGCAGCATAATTCTGTAATTAAACATTAAGAAATACAAAATTGCGTTTATGTTCAGAATGCAGCGTACATATACAATTCTAAGGTAAATTCAGAAATGAAGACGATAATGAGTGCTGTTACTTTCACATGAGTTAATTAAAAACAGTTAGGAGTTTATTGAATGATGAGTGTGATGTGATGCAATAGAAATAYCTGAGTTGAAGTTGTGTCATTCTTCAAAGCGGTTGTGAAATGTTTCATTTAAAATCATATCACAGCCAGCTTTGAGGAGCGATACGATTTCGTCAACAGCATCTATGGATGGACACAAACTACTGTTGTTGGATCGTTCTAAATGTTCAGTTCGGTAATTGAATGCCAAAAATTTAACTATAACAAATTAATTAACGTTCAATTTAAACTCAGCTAAAAGTATGTTTTGCAGAAGAATGGGCGTTATGCACAGTTATGTACATACATATATATGTACATATGTCAGCATGGTAATCAACTTATTTATGTGTGGGTGGAAATTGCACTTGGGGGAAAAAAGCAATATCAGTGGGGCTTACAACTGCGCACTGTGTGGGCATAAAATCTGGCGTCACTTTGCGAWTGGTTTGTACTCATGTACGCAATTCATTGCTGAAATTTCAATACAGTTTATAGAACGTACACGCATGAATCGCCGTTAAAGCGAGAAATTGTGTGGGTTAAGGTTGTCGAGTTGAACTGTAGAAATTACACATTGCCTTACAGAAAATACCTAAATAAAAAGAGAAGAGTAAGAAAATCGAATGAAAAGTGAATGAATTCACTTTAATTGAAACTTCAAATATTTTACCATATACATCTTCGTTAACATAATAAAACCGTTAGTTAGTAAAATGTATTTTGTTGCTTAACCCTAACTTGAATTGAAAAAGCTCTTCAACTCTCACAAAGGAATATTACCGTTTGAGTTTCTTGGAGCTTTGCCCACAAAGCCCCTTGCAATTCAAAATGTAACGGACCGTTGTCATTATTTTTCAATAATTTTTAAAATTTGTGCATAATTTTTGTGTAAAATTTAGTTGCATGCAAAGCTACATAAGTGTGTTCGGAAATTTAATGTCAATCGTTCAGGTGTAGCATGTGCTGTGAGTTTGTGCGATTGTTTGACACATTGAATTTCGTTAAATTGCACATAAAGGTATACACAAAAGCTCTTTTAATTGAATTAAATTGACGATCGACGCGGTCAGGTCGAAATAATGCGTTTTAAAAACTGACGAATAAGAGAAATCCACAACGAGAGTCTGGTGCTTATACCTAATTGGAAATGTAATTTTTATTTCATAGTGTTCCCGAACATATAATGCTTTTTGAAAATATCGGCCGAAGGTAGGGAGAAAAGTTTGAAGTTTTATAAAACAATTGTATACCTGTGGTAAGCATGACTCGTCGGTTCCTATATTTTCAAGCATTTAATATACAAATGTACATATGTACTTATAAATATRAAAATAAATACATACTCATTTCTTTAAATAAATTGTGTTTTCATGTGCTGAAATTTTTTTAAAATTTGTTATATCGAATATTTTAATCAATATAAGTTTTTTCTAGTGACTAGCACTTGTTCAGACAAATTAAGGAACACTCACACTCACTCATGCATTGAGCAAATAACTTCACAATTTAGATTTGACACAACACCTTGACGATGCGGGAGCTTTTTAGAAGCTCTCGACCACCAAACCCACCAATATTAACTTCAAGCTTGTTGTAGCAAGTTAGACGAAAACTAGCAGCGCTAGCATTAAACGATTCAGTTGTAGCTCAACCGCCAATCCGACAAGTTTGCCGAAAATCGCAAAACCGCTCCATCGCTCTTCTACTCAATAAGCAATCAATTAATCTTCCAAGCCCCGGCGAAAAGTAATAACACTTKTATATAAACAATAACGCGTAAAAAACAAAAATCTACGAATATAAGCATAATTAACCCAAGTGATAAACGAAATCGAAAATTCTCATTTTATCCTACTGTTCTTCAACTATTAACTTGTTTTTGTAAATAAACGGTGCAAGGAGTGTAATCGCGTTTTCCGAGTTAACAGATGAACTTAGCGATTTCCTGGAGCAAAGTTCCATATATAGGCTAGGAGTTAGAAGAGCAGCGCACGGCTTGAGGTGATACTGCAAACCGAAGAACAGACTTTTCGCGGAGAGCAGCCAAGGTAAAAAACAGGAATAAAAAATCGAAATAGACGCAAAGTGGGCGGCTTTTTGACATTGCCACTGTGGGCTGCCAGTGTCTGTGGCATGGCGGCGCTGAGGGTGCAACGCGTAGTGCAATTCGACGCGTATGCTCACACGCATCTATGTAAATACACAAGTGTTTGTGCACGTGTGTGTAAGCTTGAGTTAGTTTCATGTGTGTTTTTTGTTGTTGCACTGCTGCTGTTTCAGTTCATTGACTGATTGCCGCGAACTGAAATGGGATGGGTGGCACTATTGTTGTTATTGTTTTTATAATTCAAATTATTTTCAAAAACGTTTTGGTTTACAAATTGATCCATACACATGTTTGTGGGTGTATATGTGTGCAATTGTGGCAAAGCAGTTCGAATGCTGCGGAAATGACCAAATAAGTAAATCTCTCATTATAATTTTGAACTTTTTGCGAAATTATTAACGTTGAGCCGATTTGATCTATGAATAATGACAATAAACAATTCATTAGCTGTTGACATTTAAGGCAACATCGTTTCCATACACATCTATTTACTAGATTATTTGTTTGTGCGTGTGTGTGTCTATATATATATGTAGCTTCTGGATTATTATCTCAAACCTTTGCTGACAAAGCAAAAGCGCTAAAATCAGAACTTTCCACTAAGATTTTCTAACCATGTTTTGCATAAGCGATTTTGCATATATGAATATTATATACCTGTATGTATATTATATACATTACTATTATGTGTAAGTAGTTCGTTGCATGTATTTATAGATTGATATTTCATTATTAATGCTGTGTGCGAATTCGAAACGTTAATAAACAACCTTAAATAYATACATACTTATGTAGATAGGTGAGTAGGTCAGGTTATACCCTCCAAGCGATTATAAACATTGCCAAGTCAACGCTTAGAAACACACATAGACACATAGTAAAGACATTGTGCGTATAAATGTATATTTGCGTACATACACTGAAATCAAAACAAATGCATGACATCAGCACAAGAAACCGGTCTTTAGATTTCAAAGCTAATCTCCTTTACCATTTCCCGCTTATGAACTCACTACATCATGCAAAAACGCCAATCTTTCAAATGAACCGGACTAGGTGGTTGAGGTGCCGAATTGAAACTTTTTAATTGAGACAAGCGAATGGTGTTCATTTCCGAATAAGTACATACATACATATGTAGGTATTTATGTATATGAGTATATGTATGTATGCTTGTAAAAAGTGCAATTTCCGCACCACCAACGCAATCAGAGATCGGCTATCCATATTAACCAGCTTAGCTAAGTAAACTACCAAACGACCGCAAAGCCACTTCGCAAAAGTCTGCAAATTTACATTTACTCATTTTGGTACATACATACATATATCCATACGCTTGCATTCTCGATCGGTGGGACCTGATCTGTTTTTGGCAAGCTACCAAATGCTGGGCCAAWATGTCAACGACACTTTTCAGCATTTTCTCCGTGGACACGAAGCGGGACGTAGAGAGCTAAGAAATGTTTGTGAAAGTTTCCAACGCAAATCTATATCAACTTAATCAAAAAAGAGTTATTTGTGTTATATACTCGTACATACTAAATAGTGCTAGTATTAGCGGCTGATTTACGTTCGCAACATGTTTCTTTAAAATTGACGTCATTTGTTTTATATCAACCCATTACTATTTATATATACATGTGAATATCAGCTCTTTGGCAATTTACTTTGTGTTTTATTGTGCTATTGCTCTTTGGCTCTCGACGTGTTATTTGTATAAAAACTCCAGTCTTTTGACTTCGATTTAAATATGTGWATTACCTCATCTCGCCTCGCGGAGAAAAAATCAAATTAAAATCCCATTATAAAAATATGAAATCATGCTGGCAATATTGAGACACTCGCACGCACATACAGCTATTTACCTCAGCCTTGCGGTCACTCCACCTAAGCCGATTTCATAAAACTGAAGAAGTATAACTTTTGCTTATATCTTCTTATTGAGAATTATGTTTACTTATATTCTAACGATTTTTATTTGGTTACATTATGTGCACTTAATAAGTTCCCGAAGGAGTGTTCCATGCAAATGTTTGTCTTTAAGAACCCGACCTCTGCTCTAAGCTGTAAGAACTCTTCAAAATTTAGTTAGTCACCAARCGTGTGTCAATGAATATAATTGGATATTTCTATATTTAGTTTTTATACGCCTGCATAATTARCCAATTTGCAAAAGAACTTTAGTCGAAAACTTTCTTAGGCTTTTTTATTCCCATCCTA